TAAAAAAAAATCGAACAACTTAGCGCCTATCGCAGTGACTGAGATGCAATACTATTTATAGACGTCCCTTGTTGGGCGTCTCATGTTACCGCGATGTATAACGTTAATTGATACTGTGTAGTCTGTATTCCTGTATTATTTTAAGAGCGAAATGTGGCAGTAATAAATATTTTTTCTGTGGTAATCTGTCATTGTGTTTGTCTGTCAGGGATGAAATCTCAAATCTTTTGTTACCTGATCGACCAGGTCGTCTGCTATAGATGTACTCATATTTATTAAGCCTTTCGAAAAAACAACGCTATCTGATTGGATATCGCGTATTCGTCACAAGGGACACAACTCGTGTTCTACACGGGGAGAGCCACGAAAAGAGGGCCAGAAATGGCAAGGTCGAAAACTAGGCTTTGATATAGGCCAATGGACACGCTTGCCTTGGAAAAGTGTAAGGCTACATGCAGAAACATGCTGATCAATATATAGTTCATTAGAATTCTTCTTTATTGGATTAGATTTTATCTGCACTTAAAGTGACAGCAATGGCAGCCAGAACTACTCGTATATATAGGTCAATCATCTGAAGTACTTTCATAACCCTCATCAATATCTATTCCGAGTGTCATTTTCCTCTGTTCCTTTTCAATTAGCTGGACATTTTGGTTATGCTATAAGCAACACGGAGCAGTCATGGTTCAGTGTGGTTCAGTCATCTAAGGCGCCTCAATTCGCCGTGCAGAGTTGCGTCCATTAGGTGAACTTGGAACGTATGACCCTTGGGTTCTAAGCCAGATTCGCACTGATTATGTTTCTAGGTTTGTCAGTACTGTACACGTGAGTTTCAATTAAGTGGTAAACCTCTAAGGTCTGCATCACTTCGGGCTTTCGTCCCACATCATGCTGTCAGGTTGTGACATCACTGAAACCAGGCATTATGTACTCACCCTGTCAGCTGGACATTGAATATACTAAACCACAAATGTATTGTGTAGATGTGGGAAGAAAAGGTAGGTGGGCGTTGTCCACTTCCACTACAACAGTATCACATGGGTTTCATTACTGAACAGACAAGAGGACGTACCTGTCACAGTTTTGCAGACAAACATGTGAGAATCGTGACAGTTATGGCCCATGCTGACCGTGACCTTTCTTTGAGTGATATTAGCAATGATTGATTGATCAAAGACGACTTTGACGCAATTCCCGGTCTGCATAATTCCACCAATCCAAATTGACCAACTTCCGTTTCTGAAAGACATATATAGTCCCGTCAACAATCATTTTGGCACCTGGTTTTACCCATCATTTTCGATTAAACGCACAATAATCACGCGACAAAAATAGGTATGTACAACACACATTATGTCATGCTGTGAGACGTTAAATCGTCTGTTTTTAGTCAAGTGATCGATGGAACAGAAAATCAAGTGACACGATAGCGTCTTTAATGATTTTGTACGAACTAAAAACGATATGTTAATTTTGATTTACGTCTGACGTGTACACGTGCTTAGATTTTGCGTACAATGTAGAGGTAAGGCTAAAATATGTCGAAATGAGTTAAGAGGTTTATATTGAGCGCTTTTCTAAATTGTAACAAGAGCTGGCCAATGACCTAAGCTGATATGCAAAAAGTCAATTTAAAATTTATTAGACAATTCTTTTTCTGTGACGATTTTGTCTAGAAGTCACGAAATAAGCCTTTGTCAGCCTTTTCTTTTTGATTCTAACTACGTTTTTCATGATGTCAAAAGTCAACCACTTGCAAGTGTAAGGAAGAGGCTATTTTCCGGTCATATGATCATGTCAGATCATTTTCATAACAATGTTTCAAAGATACTTTAAAATGTGACATTTCCGACGGGGAAAGTGGGTCCTTATCATACACGCGTCTTTTCTAGTCGCTGAATGTGTTGCTGACAACACCTTTGCTGTTGAGTTCACCTTTGGCCGCCGAAATGATCCGCCAGGTACTGAAGCTCACCCGACGACACCAGCACGGCCAGGGACGAGTTGAAGGCAGAACATTGGGCGATGGCCGCGGAGAGCGGTTGTTCGCACGTACCAAATATAAGGTACTGGTTCACACCCTGCTTAGTCTGCAGGGGCTCTTCACATGCTGTAAGGTAATACATATTTTTTTCAATGATCATGCAAAACTACGTCAATTCGGAAATATATCAATCTTTACGGGTTCACATTCAAAGTTGCCGTCGGGATTATCGAGGTATCGCTCTACATTTATCGAGCTTAGCTGTTAAAATATTTTCTATATTTTGTATGATATTGCAAATTCGTTTTGTTCTAGAACGAAAGTTTTTAATAAAGGATAAAAACATAATTCCCGACTATATATATGGACTGAGGGCCCAAAGAAACTTTATCATAGTTTTAAATCACTCTTGTTTAAAAATCTCAAAATCTCAAAGAAATCAACAGTTTAAAGGATCATCATACAGCATCCGAAATATTGGCATGACAGTTGCCCAAATGGAGGTGGTGCAGCAAAAACAAGCTTTCAACGTAATGGACAAAGGTCTCTCACGTCTAAAATCGCTCAAGATCAATGACATGTCACATTAATAACATGCAGGACCACATCCTGCAAACAGACACGCAAAGACTCTCCGTCTGATGACGTCACGTGTGATCCGTCTCAATTCTTCTTGGAGGGCCTTGATCAGTTCTTGTCGGTTGGCTGGAGGATGTGGTCGTTATCGAAAACGATGTTCCCAGAGGTGTTCTATGGGGACATTCTTGGAGCGTACAGGCCACTGCAACACGTTCGCTGCAAGGAAGTTATGTACGATTCAGCCTGCATGGTGTCTGATAAAGGACACCACGTGGCAGCTATTGTAGAAATTGTTGGACATTCGGACGAACAATGTCATCCATATAACGCTGAGCTGTCACATTGTCGTTAAAGATGACCAGTGGTGTTCTCCTGCCCACAAATTCCTCCCCACACCATAACATCCCTTTCACCATACGGCACGACCTCATGAACGCAACATGCCGGTATTCGTTCTCCCCTTCGGCGGTAAAGACGCTGTCTTCCATCAGCTCTGAACAGTCAGAACCGGCTTTCATCGGTGAAGACGACCCTCCGCCAGTCACGTCGCTGCCAACGACGTACGGTCCGGGCCCATCTCAATATCTGCCGACGATATTGTGCTGTCAATAACTGTCCCCTGTATGTAAGCCCTAATTCCTTGAGTCCTGAGTCGCCTGGCCACTATCTGTCGACTAACCGTATGCAGCAAGGCATTCGTCACTAATGACGTCACTGTCGTGAATCGATTCCGGGGCATAAGTACCGGTCTTCATTGGGCGTAGTTACCATGGGTCTGCCTGCTTTTAGCCTTCCTGAAGTCTGCCCGGTCTGTTGCAGCAGGTTAGTTACAACCAAAAGTTCTAGCAATGTGGGCAGGAGTGACTCTCATCTGTATCATGCCCAGGGCCCGCTCCCGTTGTTCTGTGATGTTGTTTTTTTATCAGTGTGAGTGTCTGACATGCCGTCCCTATCATTTATACAACCTATTGCACGTGAAGTTTCGGCTGCCTAAGGGGCACATTTTTTCACTTTTTCGCATTTGCAGGAAAATAAAGACGTGCTTCACTTTCTGCATAGGACATTGTTGTGTTTGGACGATGTGTTTTGCATTGATTTAGTTTAAATGTTTGCAATTTCATATTAAAAGTGGTAAAGTTTCTTTTGGCCGTCAGTTTATTTGTATTTATCTTATAATAATCATTAGGAAACATTTGTATAATATTACCAGAAGACGTATTCGTTAATTTGCATTACTAAGTCATTTTTCAACTATATGACGCCTATTCGTGGGTAATTACCACGCGACGTGGGTAATGCAACACTGAAACTGTATTCGGGAGGTAGTATAGTTCCTTTAAAAACGTGTGATAAAACTAATAAGATCTTTTTCTTTATGGAATTTCTCAAACCTTTTTCTGACACCCGAAGACGCTTTGTCATACTTAATGCACAGTTCGTGCAGATTACGGAGAAGCGTTAAATGTAATCCTTGACACTTTTACAGCCGTAGGTGAAACGTTGTCAAACAAGACACAAAGCAACAAGCAAGGCCTGATTTTGAGCTCAACACTCTCACGGGTGCTTCGGAGGTAAGGCACAGCAACATTTTCACAACTGGTCCAGACTCATCACACCAACATTCTCACAACTGGGCCAGACGCAGCATACACCAACATTCTCACAACTGGACCAGACGCATCACACACCAACATTCTCACAACTGGGCCACTCGCATTTAACACCAACATTCTCACAACTGGGCCAGACGCATCACACACCAACATTCTCTCAACTCGGCCAGACGCATCACACACCAACATGCTCACAACTCGGCCACTCGCATTTAACACCAACATTCTCACAACTGGGCCAGACGCATCACACACCAACATTTTCACAACTGGTCCAGACTCATCACACCAACATTCTCACAACTCGGCCAGACGCATCACACACCAACATTCTCACAACTGGGCCAGACGCATCACACACCAACATTCTCACAACTCGGCCAGACGCATCACACACCAACATTCTCACAACTGGGCCAGACGCATCACACACCAACATTCTCACAACTGGGCCACTCGCATTTAACACCAACATTCTCACAACTCGGCCAGACGCATCACACACCAACATTGTCACAACTGGGCCAGACGCATCACACACCAACATTCTCACAACTGGACCAGACGCATCACAAACCAACATTCTCACAACTCGGCCAGACGCATCACAAACCAACATTCTCACAAATCGGCCAGACGCATCACACACCAACGTTCTCACAACTGGGCCAGACGCATCACACACCAACATTCTCACAACTCGGCCAGACGCATCACACACCAACATTCTCACAACTCGGCCACTCGCATTTAACACCAACATTCTCACAACTCGGCCAGACGCATCACACACCAACATTTTCACAACTGGTCCAGACTCATCACACCAACATTCTCACAACTCGGCCAGACGCATCACACACCAACATTCTCACAACTGGGCCAGACGCATCACACACCAACATTCTCACAACTCGGCCAGACGCATCACACACCAACATTCTCACAACTGGGCCAGACGCATCACACACCAACATTCTCACAACTGGGCCAGACGCATCACACACCAACATTCTCACAACTGGGCCACTTGCATTTAACACCAACATTCTCACAACTCGGCCAGACGCATCACACACCAACATTCTCACAACTGGGCCAGACGCATCACACACCAACATTCTCACAACTGGGCCAGACGCATCACACACCAACATTCTCACAACTGGGCCAGACGCATCACAAACCAACATTCTCACAACTCGGCCAGACGCATCACAAACCAACATTCTCACAAATCGGCCAGACGCATCACACACCAACGTTCTCACAACTCGGCCAGACGCATCACAAACCAACATTCTCACAACTGGGCCAGACGCATCACACACCAACATTCTCACAACTGGGCCAGACGCATCACACACCAACATTCTCACAACTCGGCCAGACGCATCACACACCAACATTCTCACAACTGGGCCAGACGCATCACACACCAACATTCTCACAACTGGGCCACTCGCATTTAACACCAACATTCTCACAACTCGGCCAGACGCATCACACACCAACATTGTCACAACTGGGCCAGACGCATCACACACCAACATTCTCACAACTGGACCAGACGCATCACAAACCAACATTCTCACAACTCGGCCAGACGCATCACAAACCAACATTCTCACAAATCGGCCAGACGCATCACACACCAACGTTCTCACAACTGGGCCAGACGCATCACACACCAACATTCTCACAACTCGGCCAGACGCATCACACACCAACATTCTCACAACTCGGCCACTCGCATTTAACACCAACATTCTCACAACTGGGCCAGACGCATCACACACCAACATTTTCACAACTGGGCCAGACGCATCACACACCAACATTCTCACAACTCGGCCAGACGCATCACACACCAACATTCTCACAACTGGGCCAGACGCATCACACACCAACATTCTCACAACTGGGCCAGACGCATCACACACCAACATTCTCACAACTGGGCCACTTGCATTTAACACCAACATTCTCACAACTCGGCCAGACGCATCACACACCAACATTCTCACAACTGGGCCAGACGCATCACACACCAACATTCTCACAACTCGGCCAGACGCATCACACACCAACATTCTCACAACTGGGCCAGACGCATCACAAACCAACATTCTCACAACTCGGCCAGACGCATCACAAACCAACATTCTCACAAATCGGCCAGACGCATCACACACCAACGTTCTCACAACTCGGCCAGACGCATCACAAACCAACATTCTCACAACTGGGCCAGACGCATCACACACCAACATTCTCACAACTGGGCCAGACGCATCACACACCAACATTCTCACAACTGGACCAGACGCATCACACACCAACATTCTCACAACTGGACCAGACGCATCACAAACCAACATTCTCACAACTCGGCCAGACGCATCACAAACCAACATTCTCACAACTCGGCCAGACGCATCACACACCAACGTTCTCACAACTGGGCCAGATGCATCACACACCAATATTCCCACAACTGGGCCAGACGCATCACACACCAATATTCCCACAACTGGGCCAGAAGCATTATCACATTGCAACACGTACACAGGTCTTGGGACAAGCTGTAGAATGCTACGGTTTCTCTCACTGCATACGATATTAGATCATTTTATTAATTCAATAAATCGTTATTAGGATGTCATTAAAAGCTAAAAGTTTCTGTGATACATTTGTATCATATTAAGTAGAAATGAAACATTTCGACGAACTTCAAAGTAGCTTTTTACTCGTTTATTTATCTTTGCGTGTGTTACCTGGATGGGATGAGGTCAATGTATCCAACGTTGTTCCTGACGGTGTCGATGGTGACGGACATGGGTGGACATCTGGAAACACAGAGTACAACAATCACGACTTATAGGGCTAACTGTTTCAGGGAACAGGTTTGAAGGTTTGGGTCGACGGTTTATTAACATGAATGACATATCATGAACTCATACTAAACAAGAGAATATTACCTGTTTTGTTGGCTTACAAGTCGTCATGCTTTACGACTTTTTCCCGTTTTGTCGTTATATATAATAACAGAAACTTTCTCAGGGAAGATATTAATACCTCATGAACCGATCGACCATACAATATCTTTAGATATTTCGGCAGCTGAACAGATTAACTTCTGCAAAATAACAAATATTGACATATAAAAGTTTCACATTTTAATACCAACGCAAATTTGAAAACATTTACAGGCTTTTAAAAAACCGTTTTTTAACTGTTTTGGTTCAAAAATAGTAAATCTGGTATTCGTTCTTGATCGCTGTTCCTGATCGTTACGTCATACCTAGCAAAGACACATTCCAACCCAAATGAACAGAAACAATTTACTGGGGATAAGACATTTCGGCAGTTGCGAACCTATCAGTCCGTGCAACGTTTCTGTCCAGGATGACATTAGCGGCGTGTCAATGAAAGGACACAGACTGGATCAGATCTCGATAGGAAATCTATTTTCCCGCACCCAGAACTGTCCTGTAATAGTAATAAGGCAAGGATCACTGCCGACGTGCCAGGCAACATGCAAACAGGAATAACGATGTGGTCTAGTGGATAATACACCAAATGGGATTTCAGAACCTCTAAAGACTACAAATATGCTCAGATTAGAGGAAAAATCAATAGATCGTATCGAAACTGATTGAACTCTCTCGGCTTCTGATTGTGTTGGGTTTTATCGACATGTAAACCACACTCCTGCTATTATCGATTTCAATTATGCGTCATCTGACACAGCGTGGCATGGTGCACCGATGGCATGAATAGGTGCTCATGCTGTCAACAACTGGTTTACCTGAGGAACACTCGAACTGTGGTGAAATGGGGTTAAACGTCAAAGATGATTGCACATATATACGTGCATGCACGTGTGTGTGCGCGGCTGCTTGTACTATTCCTGACTAATGCCGATTTATAGTGCTGGTCAACTGAGACCCCATGTCGCAGTTTAACATGAATACCCCACTCAGACACAGTATACTGATATCGAGCCGACCAGTCCTTGTTTTAGCCCCTTAATTCCGAGCGCCAGGCAGGGTAACAACAAGTACCATCTTTTATCGTCTTTTTGTTTGACGCGGCGGGGTTTGAACCCCAGACCTTCCACTCTCCAGTCAGACGCTCTACCACACTCGAACATTTACAGGTTGCCGTGACAGCTGCCACATTGCTGTTCCCGATCTCTCCTTACTCATATTATGTATTGATATACCTCGTGGGGGTACCGGGTAAGAATAGGTCCCCAGCAACCTGTGCTGGTCGTAGGAGGAGACCAAATGGATCGGGCTGGGGTACCCGGATCGTTGTTCACAATATCGATCACTGGATTGTCTTGTCCAGACTCGATTATTTACAAGCCGCGCCGTCCTATAGCTTGAATATTGCTGAATGTGCGTTAAACAATAAACTACAGAGGTGACTAAACAAACTAATAGTATGCAAAAATCAAATACAAACCAACAAAATGTAAAATATGATGTAATTTGGTACCTGTTTTATCCTCACATATCCAGCCGTGGCTGTCCTGACAGTTGGATGTAAAGTGTACGTAGCCCCTGGTTTCCTTGTCGGTGATGTTTGCAGAGTACATGGCGCATAAGTTGTCCACGTTGGGAGGCGTTGCAATGTCAGGACAGATTCCCGATACCCATACCTCCTTGTTGTTGTATCTTATACACAATGTGATTTACATTCCAACATGGCAACAATACTGATGTGTTCACGTCTTGATCTCAATATTCGCTCTCAACTCCCTAATTCATCTGGGCCAGCACTGGAAGGAAACCATGTTGGACAATCACACACACAGCTGTAGTGTGCGTTCGTCTAAAACATATTCGCCTTGTTTTGAGGCACTAAAACTGTTCAAAGTTAATCGTCATGATTACAAAATACATGCGGAGTTATCTGTCATCAAACAGATTACAGTGAACTATTGTTCTATCACTGAAATATAGAGCCTAGTACATTCTACTATCTTAACTGGTAACAGCGGAGAGTAACCTGGTCAGTTTCTTGTTTTGAGACAAGGAGGCGATTGTGAGCGTTAGCTATATATTCGCTTTGTAACGTTGCTAATGTTATTCACACATTGTACCTATGTGAGGGAATCGAACTCGGGTCTTCGGCGTGACGAGCGTACACTTTAACCACTTGGCTACCCCGCCGTCCCTACTCAATGAAGAAGGGAGGTAAGTTGAGTTTGCGAGTGTAAAACAAGATATGTTTATTTGATTTACCTGTCAATTCCTGTAAGTATTGTGTAAATAAACTTAAAATGCCACTGAAAATCATTACATGTTGTATTCAGCAGTTGTCAACAGGGATTGCAAAATGACCATGAAACGAGCCTTTATTAAAGTGTAGTAAAAGTTACTGCAAGATTGGTAAATTTCAATGATTAAAATAGTATAATGCACTCTTTAAACCAGTAGTTCTTTGAAAGATGGGTAGTAATCTCAACAAACTGATTAGTAATTTTTACAAATCAACGATAGGCCACCTGCTAGTCTAATTAGTAAAACATTACTAACTGATTCGTATAGTCTACTGACATGTTAGTTTCTGAGTGGATAGAGAAATTCACTAAGTTAGTAAGTTTTACTAACTATTTCTGTCAGAGATCACTACTCTCGTGTTGTCGGAATTATTCTAAAGTTGCGGAAGAAGCCGAGTTGATCCGAGTGAATTATAGTCGTAACAATTATCTGGTACCTCATGGGTACAAGTAACTTTAGAATGTGACAAAGCGACTTTCGTATGTGCAGGAACATCCGTATGGAGTACCATCGTATATATGTCGGGTGAAGGGAGAAGGTAAGTTCTACTGTTCTACTTACCCTAGTTTCACAACTGTTGCAGAAAAGTAGTTCATCTCTTTTGTCGTCTTAAGTCGAAGAATTTGCATCCCTGTGTTGTTACACTCATCCACGGCATCGCTGTAGGCCAGGGAGCAGTCGAAGAACATACTGTAGCTGACGTTGTCCCAGGTGAATTTGTCAGTGACGTCACACTCACTGGCGCCTAGATTCAGACAAGTGTCATGATTATGTCTCTGCTGGTTCAAGATACATGCGTGCGGACCATTTGATTTCTAACGAGGGTGGCGGTCCGTTTTGTGTTTTTAAAATAAGAAGAAGCCACAGCTCATAAATTTGTGTAAATACAAAAATCGGTCTCCATCTGTTTGAAGTTTCTTTTTTCAGCCTCTATAAAATGTATCGACCTTAATATGGCCTTCCTCATCAATACAGAGTATTTCATGAGCAAAGCCATAAATGAATCTTTGACATGATATGCACATGAGACAGTATGTCTGTAGCACCTGTTTATTAAAACTCATTTCAGTTTTTCCATTTCAAGAGACCATATCAATTAAGCCACTCTGTTGTATTAGTGGACAAAAGTATTGACTCCACTTGTCCCGCTGTGATGTGACTGAAATGTTGTTGACTGTGATTTGAAATGCCCATTGAACATCAATTACCCTTACTTGGAACGAAAATACAACCAATACGTTATATATAAATAAAAATTGTTCATTGCAAAAACCTAAATTGACGAGCCAAAAAAACGCTACTAGCCAACACTGTTTGTTCTTACAGACAGAACAGGAACAATGTTGTGTTAGATAGGTTTCTTGTCAAAAGACATGAATTAACAACATCAGCTGTGAATGAGAACAATAATGAATTTATTGTGTCCACAGTTTGAAGGATGGGGTCAATTGTTCAGTAATCGATCAGCCATCAAGACTGAAATCATTACACGAAACTACTTTTAATCCTCCAAAATGTCACAATTGTCAGTCAGTGTCGTGTCTGCTCACCACAGGCATCAATGCACGCCCATTGATGTGAAGTGTCTGATCACAAGAAATGGAATTCGACGCCATTCTTCCCGGAAGGCCAGTGCGAACTAATTCTTGTTATAAGGGCGACCTGGCCGTGCTCTAATTTGTCGGTTCTGGCGGAGCGTCTCTATGTATAGTCTCCCTGATCAAGGTGATCCCACAAGTGTTCTGTAGGTGATGTCTGGTGTTTGTGCTTGCCAAGGCAAGAAGACGTTGTATGGTGCCTTGTGTTATATTGCTGAAACTGGGCCTGCGGATTCTGTTGCAAGAACGGTAGGAAAACAGGGCATAGCGATTGGTCATTGGAAAGCTGTCCAGTGATGTTACCTTCCACAAACATCAAATATGTCCTGACGTGGCTACAGATGTCGCCCTAAACCAAATGGTTCCAAACGGTTCATTAAC